TGACACTGGTGGACTACAATAAAATATTTCATAAGCTGGATGAGATTTATACCATTCACAATGTGTTTTATAATGACCTCGAGTCTCGAGTCTCACACTGGAATGACCGGCATCTTATTGGGGATTTGTTTTTGAGTTTGGTGAGTAAATGTATGTAGGATTCATTTGTTGGTGTTTAACTTCAGAGCAGGCTTATACTGTAGGTTCTCAAGCACTCAAAGTTCCAAGCTCAACTTATTTCAAAGTAGACTTTTGGCAACCTTAAGTGAAAGATTGATCACCAGGGATGAAATATTGGTTGCCAGAAAAGAAAGACACTCTGCCATATTACTTGAAGAGTTAAACAGAAATAATCAAAATGCCTGGCCAACTATCGCAACTGGACTTTGAGGTCCACGCAGTATCTCAAGATGTAATAACCAGACAGCCAGGGTGAAAGAAGTGAATTACAAACATACAAGTCGTCAGACTGTTGAAACCTTCACTACAATTTTTGTCGCCAAAATTTTGCTTAATCGCCATGACAACTAAAACAGTCATGGTGTACCACACTCTCCTCTCTTTTGGCGACAATAATACTGTACTCACTTTAAGATTAATATGCCTGCAGTGCAGACTAGTTGGTGTTTAAAGCCATTTCATGTTAAGAAGGAAACGCGATAAGTCTTTTTTGTATTTGTGTTTTTTCCTCTTCCCATAATGTCACAAATTCCATTCTCTTTTTTTCCTCTCCCCTGTCCCAAGTCTCACTTCCTTCTGTTTACCTTCCCTGTCCCTCTTTACTTCCACCATCCCTGCCTGCTGGGGATAAGGGTTCCTTTGCTCCTCCAAACCCTCATGAAATTCCATTTATTTATTAGATTCTTCCTTTCTTTTCAAAAGTTTGCTTTGGAAATACCCCTTCCCCTTGGAATTTCTAATGTCATCATGTGAGGTTATGGTGAGAGTATTGTAACAAATGTATCCTGTTATACCAAAAGTTGCCCTGTTGTTATTATTGTCTCTGTCAAAGAAATGTTTCAATGTTGCCCATTAAAATTATTATAATATTATTATTATTTATGCAGGTGGATCAGTTTGATGTCTATAGAGAATATATTTTAAACTACAAAATTGCTCTGTCAACCATACGTAAATGCAAAGCCAGCAATGAACAGTTTAATAACATTTTTTCCAAGGTATGTGAGCATGTTTGCATTTGACCATTGCTGACCAGCTGATATTGGCTATATTTAAGCAGCAATATTAACCAACATAAAAAAATATATATATCTTTCTTTCACTTTCAGGAACTCAGTGTTCGTTCCATTCAAGAAGTCACAACTTTAGAAGGTGGGTTTAGGAAGGGATGGGGAGCAGTGAAGGGGTTGCTGATTATTATTTGAGTTAAGTCCAGTGTCTTTTAAAATAGATTTCTTTTTATGATGCACTGTGCAGTCACTTCTCTTTTGGTTCTGTGATTTTAAAGCAATTAAGTCAACACAAAGAAAACTCAAGTTTCTGCCTTCTACTCCTTCAAACAGCCTTGATCTCACTGTACATCACTTCTGTCCTCTAAAGTTAGTCTCAGTGTAGAATGAAATACTCAATGATGTGTGACATCTTTGCTTTCATGATTACATTTCAGGCCTTTTTAGTAAGCCAGTTGAAAGAGTTGGTAGATATATTGTTGCTCTAGGGGTGAGTTGTTTAATAATCTTATTATGCCACCTTCCTGTTGGGTTTAGTCCAGGTTAGGACATAAAATTTAGTGGCCATGAATATTTCAAACATAACTGCTTAAAAAACAGAAATGAAACATTATGCAGCATGCAAAGGACGAAGTGTCTGATAGCCTGGGGCTAGTGATGCTAGCTTCAGCTTGCCTGAGTGGCAAGCCTGTAAAAATGATTTTCTTTGCACCCTGTTATGCCTTAAGTTTTCATTTAACTCACTACAGGATTTGATCAAGCAAACCCCTGAGGATCATGCCGATTATGAGGTGCTCACAAATGTTCTGAATACAACCAAAGACTTCCTCGCAAAGATCACTGGGGATGACAGAGACAGTGGCGTGAGTAATATGTTAGGGTCTACTAATATTGCTGAAGTTGCAAAGCAGTCAGAAACCTCTATTTTCATAGTCCGTTGAAAACACACCTCCTAGTGGCTTTAGGGATAGGAATATTGTTTTGGTCATTCATCTGTTGAACATTTGTTCGTTTGAAGGACAAGCCATGAAGGAAAGTTTTATTCATCATCTTTTTTGTGCAATAAGTTTAAATGGAACACAATCCCACACAATCATAATCCGCAGTTTACTACTACTGTAGCTAAAAAAGAGGTAAAAGCTGTTTTAGAGAGGCCCTGAGGTTAATTTATCTTTATCCAGGTCATACAAAGAGCGAAGAAAGATCACAGGCTTATTAAAGATGCTTTTATTGTTGAACTTGCAGGTAATTGTTGACATGTACTTGTAAAAACTGCCTGTAGAAAGTATTGACCGTTTAACACCCCTGAAGTGGCAAAAATCAGAATTAGACTAAAAGACTAAATTTCATTCTGAAAATGCTATTAAAAAAAGATAATGTTACTATGTATGAGTACTACCAAAGAAGTTTCATTTGAATGGTCACACTGCAATACTTAGTCCACAGACTCGAAAGTCAGAAACACCTTACAAGTCTTCGTTATTCACTCTTAAGTATCGTTGATATTGTGGAATTTTGTATGAAAAGTGTAGTTTTCTATTATTAAGCCTCGCATAATGTTTACTTGCAGATGGAGTTCGGAAATTTAGACATTTGTTCTTATTCAATGACTACATCATTTCTACCAAGAGAAAAATTACTGCCAGGTTTGTGTTAGTTGATTTTGTGGTAAGCTTAAATTAATAATGCAATAAAATGTAATTTGTTCTTTATAGGGTTGTTTTTAGTTATATGACTGTCTTTGTTAGCCTTTGTGGGCTTATGTTAAACAATTAAAAATTTGTTATTTTTTATCTTTTTGTATTAAGGAAAGTCATTTTGTATAAGGTCACTTTTGACGTAACTTTTATTGTTTTGTTTTTAGGAGTGAACAGTATGTTTGCAAGTGGTATATTCCTTTACACGAGTTGCAGTTTCATCCAACAGAAATCTCAGAAGGTTAGTTTAGTTCTGTCTTTTCCGCCCTTAATGTTGATATGTGTAAAGCAGGTAAATTGATATCTGGGCTGGCCTTATATATTAGAAGCGGAGCTTTCGCTCAAGAACTGATAGAGAGGTAAAAACATCCGAGTCAACATACACCACAAAATGGACTGCAACGTGCTTGGTGCTAAGAAAAATAAAAGCTGAACAGTTAGTCGACATTTTGTTTTGTTTTGCCACTAACGGGACTTAACGTGCGTAAGGTTCTGTGCATTGAACCGAAATGTAGAGCGCTGTGTAGCGAAATTGTGTCGTTTTGTACACGGTGCTCGACTTTCTTTGTAATTTGTACTTTGCGTTCAATTCAACACTAACCAATTCTTGTAGCTACAGTGTAAATAAAACATTAACTCGAAGTCAACTTCTGCTGTTCGACTAGATAAACAACAAAACAACTTCTGACAACTTTCCTTTTTCTCGCTTGTTAACTTTGTCATGCGGTGAGCTTTCTTGCAAATTTTTCTCGTTCTTCGCCTTTTTTCAACAATTTAACTCTGAAAACTACACTATTTTAATGTTAGAAAAAGTAAAATAAGTAGTTGAAAGCAATACTCACGTTTTTGCGTCTGTTTTTTCACGTGAAGAGTACCTCCTTCACATTTAAAACAGCTACAAGTGATAAACTTCCTCCAGAATGCCCATTTGTTTTTTATCTAGGCACGGGCTGCACGTGCTGCACGTTTCATTCAGCAACTTCTCGGCAGTTTGCATAATTAGCGCGCATGCAAACGACTTTGGCATAAGAGTGTTTTAGGCCTTTTTTTAACGCAAATTGTCGAGAAGTTGCTGAATACCACATACGTTTCGCTCGTGCCAAGAAAGCAAAAAAATGAAGTTTTTGACTGAATATGAGGCTAAACCTACAAGTGAAAGAATATTATGGTATTGTAAGGAAAGGCCTTGGTTTAAGTAGCAGGAAAAATGATGCTTTTTTTGCCATTTTCTTTTTTGCTTTAATTTTTTTAGCACCACAAGTCATTCCGGTCACCAGTAAAGCTGATTTTGATATGCTTAAGAGCAGAATGGCGAGCACAAAAGCCGAAATACGACGAGAAGGAGGAGGAATGAGCACTAGTCAGAGTCCAGACTCTTCTCCCTCATCCAAGGTATGTCTCCCCTTCCCTTTCCCCCACCTCCTTCCACCCATTTTGCCCCAAACAGGGTCATTTCCTTTCATTTGTCATCTCAAGTCTGAAACCTCTTTGTTTAAGATTGATAGACTTCTCATGGATTGAACATCTTTTATCTTCACAGCGTCGCCGTATGCAGTCTGCCTCCAAAGTAGTAGAAAAGATGAAGAAGCGGTTAGCTGAGCAGGTAACTTGACTAAAACGATTTACTTGAGTGAAAGTGTTAACTTTTATGAGGCCGTAAAATTCCCGCTTGAACAGGGAATTGGTTACTTTTTTTTATTCAAATCGCTTTTCTAGAAAGTAGTTTACCACTTACTAGCTGACAGGAGCCCTTTCACGGGAGTGTTATTTTAACTTTGTTTAAGTTCGTTCTGAGCAAGAAACCTTCACTCTCCTACACAAACTGCTGCGACAACACAAGGAGATAGTTTGTGGTAAACTTCTCGAAAGAAAGCTAAAGAGTACGCTGGCGAAGTTTCCGACGCAATGTCAGATCTTACAGAAGGTGGCCAAACTCTCTTTCAGTTACAGTTTGGTCACAGAAAACTGTAAATGGTTAAGCGCTTGAATTAAAACTGGAACCCTTATGGGTGGGAGATTGTTCTCGCGGGGCCGTGAGCGTTCGAGATTTTTAGTCTGGATGAAATCGTGTTCGATTGACTTTTCTCTGAAATGAGAATGACTGGAATTGACCGAAAACGTTATATATTTAAGAAGAATTTGTATTGCACACTATCAATGAAATGTACCTTCCAGTGTGACCACTAAAATGAACGTTACTGGGCTGTACTTTTAAAGGGATATTTTTCTGTCTTAAGTATTTAGTAAATAATGTGTGTGTACTTTTCTTTTATTCCTTAGGAAGCTGCCCTTTTGCTAGCCATTCCAAGCCTGCCTCTTACACTGTACCACAAGCAGGGCAAGGTATGTTGAAACTCGTTTATAACCGGTCTTTTCCTATCATTACTTAAAGGGAACCTCCACTCTTACTACAGAATAAGTTTAAATCGAATAAAATTATGTTGATAAACAAATTTGTTCGAAATTTGTCTTAAAAAAAGTGTTTATATCAGGAAAAGTGAATTTTAAAATCGCGTATTTTCACTTTCAAATTTCGCGGGCGCCGCCATCTTGAATAATTGTGACGTGTTACGGTTGCTCTATTGTTCTGACACAAAGAGCTTTTGTTTAATAACAATAGGGCACGTCACAATTATTCAAGATGGCGACGCCCGCAAAATTTGAAAACAAAAATAGGCGAATCTAAAAGTTATTTCTTTCGGATACAAACGCTTTCTTTAAAAATATTTTAGATTGACTTGACTGTAACAGTTATTTCCTGTGATTTAAAGTTATCTTTTCGTTGAAGTGGAGGTTCCCTTTAACATGTTAACCCTTTTACTTCCAGAAGCAGCCAAAGTTAAATTTACCCCAAAATTTGAAATTTCATCTTGTAAAGTGCTGAAAAAAATAGTACTACCTGAAAGTAATGCCAAAAAGGTTTCATTTGAGTGGTCGCACCATAGGGCAAGTTTCGTCCGCAGACTCGAAAATGAGAATCGCCGTACCACAGTCCGTCGTTCACCGACTCTGATAGTGAATGATGGAAATTTCCATTGAAAAATTTCCCTTGGTGCTACACATTACCCTGTTCAAGGTCTTTCAAGCTTTTAATGAGCGGAAAAATCAAGAAAATGGCATAGCTCTGCGTATACACCAGCTCATTAACTATTCGTCGAAGTACGAACACACGATTCGTGTGTCATTTTTACCCACGTCTCTCTTGTGCCGCTACAATTTGTGATCTCGTAATGTAAATGATAGCTGCGATGAAACGGTTATTTGGTGATAACTTTTTTTCATGTTCAGAGGGGTTCGGTGTTCTCAGTGTGGATAAAACCATTCGGCCTTATCCTTGTACATGGTAGCTGCCGCCGGAATCGTGCTAGCCTGTGAGCAAGCTCTCCTTTTTGGGCAAGCTTCGCCGCGCGCTCGCGCGTTCTCGCGAGACTCGCTTCACTCGCCCAAATAGGAGAGCTTGCTCGCGGGCTAGAATCGTGCAGCAACGTTTGTTTCCAGAATCGTACAAAAAAATTACTGTTTCCTCCAGTTCTCGTTTTGATTGGTTTTGAAGCACAATGGTGAAATAATTCCACCAAAAGCAACATAGTTTTTGTCATTCCCACACAAATTCGTTTCAAGGTGTACATAACTTCTGCGCTATTTTTTCTTCTTATTTGCATGAGTTAATTTTTCAGGAGTTTGCACCATAAATAAGTAATGATTTTTGTAACCCCTGTTGTCTTTTTTTTAAACATTTACTGTAAACATTACTTGGCGAAAATAATTACTATATAGACACTTGTGAAACTTTTTTTACTTGTTTCATAAAAAAATAGTTGAAACAAAGAATTAAAGAATTTAGAATTAAAGTGGTGGAAGTTTATTGTGCCTATTAATTTTCAGACATACACATTACTTTGTAAAAGCGATGTTGAGAGAGCTGAGTGGAAGGAAAAAATAATTCCTCTATTGGAACAGAACGAAGGTATATAAAACTTAAATGTTGCGGTTTTGTTCATCTATTTATGTCAATCCGGTGAGCAAGATCGTGGATGTGGTGCTAATTTGATGGTTTTGTCAATATTTATATTGTTCAAAACGATTTTTAATCGATTTGCATATACAGTCCAAACATAAGTTGACGAACTGTCTTATTCAAATAATGCATATCTATGTTCTTGGAGGCCTTTATTGTCAACTTATTTTTTTTACAGCATCTTAAATTTCTGAAGTTGTAAAAGGATTTAACGTGAGGCCTTGTTTAGACAACTAGTTTTTTGTATCACGTTTCTCTAATGATTGTTCCTGCCCTTAACCTTAGATAATCCGCCAGCGGAAACTCTGAGCGTGCTGGATTTGCATCACTTGTTAGAAGCCTGCAAAAAGGTTTGTATCTTAGTTGTTTTCTATAAATGCAAACTCTGAGTTCATCTCCACACGACGACGCTCTTTCCCGTTTGCAGAAACGGCAGGAGAAGAAGGTCGCCTATTTAGCGTTCGGATCAACAAGAACGTTGATTGGTTAATCGCTTTTGTTTGCCGCGGGTGACTTGTGTCAGAGCGACATCCCGAACCGATTAAACTGACAGATTAATTACAATTCGACCTCAGTATTTGTTTATTCAGATCCTCGATTTATAGCTTTTCTACTGAGGCCCAAATCCTGTGTGTCTCGGAGCTTCGGTTTCAAAGATTCCAACGATTCAAGTATCTCTTGCGCTTCCATGTCAGCGAAAGTGAAATTTTCCCTGTCTCCAAACCTTAAACTATCTCGACGCGGGTCGACATCGCCCTTGGAATGTGGGGAAAAGAAATCGCCTCTTTTTCGCCGCGGTTCCTTGTCGCCGAATCTTCGTTTGTTACGAAGGGCTTCCGACTCTAACTTCTTAAAAGATTCGCATTCCTTGGTAAGAAACGTTTCCCTATTCTCTGTTATAATGTTGTTGGCATATCTGTTGGGATTGCACGAATATACCTAACTGCTTGATAATATTCACTTGTATAAGTTCATAATACTTTCGTTTGTTTGTATAAGGATGTTGCAATCGTAAGGTGACGGTGAAATTGCTCTTTTTACCCACAAAATTGCAGTCGTTAATTTGTTGGTCTAAAGCTACAAGCGTCGTTCAGAAACTTGTGTTTTTCTCGGCCTGATTTCATGCTGTGCAGCTCAGTTTTTATTGCAAGTCTGATACCGAGTGGGCTAGATATTTGTATTTTTCTGCCTCAGATTTTGGGTTAAAACATTTCCCTCGACATTTGGAAAGTTTGTCAATTATTTTCCGGGTCTCAACAAACTATACACGTTTAGACACATTTTGTCCTTGCGGTTGAAATGGTCATTGCTGTACTTTAACATAATTATATCGCTATACATAATCTGTTCCTTTTAAACTACACGCTGTGCAAAACATTTTTCGATACAAGTTGGGTGGGAAAACTGCATGTCCGTTCCTTTTCCAGTCTTGGACGGCTTTCTAGCTGTTTTCGTGTATGTACTAGAATAAATACTTAAAGTTTAGTAGTTACGCCAGCTCTGAAATTACGTATTTCTTTGTAACTAATCCGTGTGATACAATTTGGTTTGTTGAGAGGTCGTAACTGAGATATTTTTCATAATGACCTCCGCGGACCTCGACGCATTCTTAGCAAATTTCTCACCTCTTGATTCATTTTAATCCTCAAATTTTCCGCTTTGGTCACGATATTTTAAGGGGTTATATCGTGTATTTTTAGTAACACTTTGAGGAGCAGGATTGCTTGAACCCGTGGAAGCCTAACAGTAATCCGCTCTTGCTATTGCATCGAGTCGCTAGAAACTGAAAATGAAATGGAGAATGATTATCGTCACTGGGTTTGTCAAAAACACTCTCACTGGGTCTCTCGACGGGTATGAGAGGGAACCTTATTTCCAGTGATTTAAGTATTCTGTCTCGGCGAATTAAAACTCAGAAAGACACTTATGTAGCTAGAGACAGTGTATCATCTGAAGTTCTTTCCGCACCTAGCACCAATACCGAATAGTGAAATTCCTTTGTACTCAGTTTTGAGCTTGTCCATGCAATCCTGTAATGAAAGTTCTTAAGCACTCCTTGCACGCCTTTGGTTGGATACTGTTTTGATCCGGGTTTTTGATCAGAAAACGTCCTCCGAAAAAAACAAATCAAAATTTCCGAGTTTTTTGAAGGGTGAGGGGTCGACCTCACTGTGGGAGGATCAGTGGCCTCTCGCTTTATTATATTCTAATTTTAAGTACAAACTTTGCCATACTTAGTTCATTTTTCTTTTAGTAAAGTCGAAACCAATGGTCCATTCGCTGTTCCTAGAGCATCCTGTAGAATTTGTACCTGCTTTTAACTGTTGCTATTGAATGTAATTTATGATATTAGCGTGGTGACGTTTTTCACGTATTCCTTTTCAGCTGAGAACTTGCAAGACGCTAGGGAGAGTGTCTATGAAAGAAGGTACAAATAATTTTTAATCAGCAGCACTACCTAGCTGCTTCCGTCTTCCTTCTTCTTATGGGGGATATGATTCATGTTGCTCGCTAATTCATCTCACTTAAAAACACATACAACGCATGGAAACGTTCGTTCTGTAACGTCTTTGCGTTGAATCTTCCTATTCTCATATTGCAGATAAAGGACTCCTTAATGGTCTACTATACGTTCATATTCACTCTGGTCGAGGATTTCACAAAAATGGTAACTAAAGCAACCATGTCCTACCCCACCCCACTCGCTCCCTGCGCCCCACAGCGGACTCCAAACACACAAACACCCAAAATCCTGAGTCCCTCACTTTCACAACCCGTATATATTGGTGAATAAATCAGTTTTTCGCCAAAATAAGACGAAAGTCCGTGACTTAAATCGAAAACTAAGGTTACAAAATTGAAATTGTTTTATTTCAGGCTACTCTTGTGTAAAGGAAAAAGTTTATGTAATTGAGACGTGTGGGTTCTTAATGACATTCCACGCTGCTTCCGTCGTAAGATCGTTGTAAAGCCTACAATTACGCACATAAACAAAATCATATCCTTATCACAGCTTAGTGGAAACAAAAATTAGCGCGGTAGAAAGTCACGTATTTAGCGGTTTCCTTATAACTGGTGCAAAACCTTTACCCTCGGTAATCACTTAACTAATCCCATCGCCTACAGAGTCGCGTAATATAAACACGCGTCGTTCAAAATTTATAATGAAGGTCAAATCGCTGTATTAGCTTTGTGCTAATACAGGTAACTTTATACGCCATTTTTTCAGTGCCAAAGATGTTTTTCATTCCTGAACCTGTTTCTTTGAATGTTTCAGATCTGAGCTGCGCAGTGGAAGTAGATCATTTTGGTCAGTTTGTCCGTAAAGCCAGAACAAGAACATGTAAGGCTACCACGGATCCTGTTTGGGACCAGGTGAGTTCAATTGATCAATTAGACTGACTTCAATCGGTTTCTATTTTTCAGTTTTAATATCTCTAACAACTTGAAAACAGGACGAGCGAGAAATTTGGACCAGAAGGACTGGCGAGAGATATCAGAGGGTCCCAATCTCCTTAGGTTCATATCGTGCGTCCGCTTTAATTTGACGAGGAAAAAAGCGATTTTGGGGGTTTGTTATTACATCTCTGCTTGAGCCTTAATTGATGATTTTAATGTCTTATTTTTAGGACTTTGATATCGAGGTGGAAGGTACAAGGGAACTCAAGCTTCACGTGTATTACAAGAGCCGACTTAACTTTGACGAGCACCTCGCTCAAGGGAAAATTGAGGTAAAAAGAAATTATGTGCGTGGTGGACCTGTGAGTGCTGCACCGCGTTTACAAGAACGTCGTCATAAGCCAAGTCTTTTGGTGCAATAAATTCCAGTCCTCACCCCTGAATATTTACTTCTCTCTCCGTGGGTTCCAGTTCACTGCTGCTATGGTTCGATTACCTGTTCACACTGCACCATTGTGTGGCACTCACTGAACCTATCCGATGTGTGACGCTCCACTTTCGAGATCGGCGCCGCGTAGTTTCCCTTCCGTTATAGAAATCGCGCTGAAATCACCGTTCTTATGTGTGTTCAGAAGCCTTGTGAACGTAACCTAAGATTCCTTATGTAACAGCTATTACATGATTTGCGTCCTTTAGAAAAATATTTCTTTGTAATAATATCCACTTACAGAGTTGCTGTGTTACCCTTTTTCAGCTCCTAAAAGAAAATTTGACCGATCTGACAAAGAAGACGATTACAATCACCTTGGATAAGCAGGTACAAATCATATTTACCTTGATCCGTTTTGCAAGTTACACCTTGATGGTGTCATAAACGCCGTTTTATATCCTATGCTATAGATATATACGACTTGCTTGAAAAAACAGACAGGTCAATCTCCAAGAAGATTAGCTGTTTACCTACTCATCCGCTGTATAATTTGTTGACCAGAGTTAAAGAATCTTCAAAATGTCTGAGAACTAAAACAAGCCTACTACCCGGTGTTAAAACGGAACGTTTTTAAAGCTAGTTTTATTAATAGACTGTATTTCAAATGTACTTTTACTTTTTAACTAATAATATTAAACTTGTAAATATAGGTGTTTATTTTTACTTGTATATTCAATAAAGACTTAAAGTGTATCAGTTTATAACTATCTCTGTTTGCCACGCAGGGGGCGGTCACGCTGTCGCTACAGTATTCTAAATCGCCAAAAGGAATTCAGAGGAAAAAGTCTTTGGTTGAAAAGGGAGTTTTTGGAGTCGATATTGGTACCGTCTCAAGGTAAGTTGTTGGTCCTTGTTGTAAAGACATTAAAAAGTCTCTAAAAAGCCCTTTTTTGAGTGTCAACGTATTTAGCACGAAGGAGCTAATTGAGGACACTATTTTATGTCCCCTACTGGATAAGGGACCGCCATTTTGCCCGGTTATCCGAGTCATGTAAAGGTCTGGTCCTTTGTAGGAAAAGGCAGTAACTTCATTTCTCGGTTATTTTAAGACCTTGAAATTATGGTGGTCTAGTCTAGGGAATTGAACCTTCGACCTATCTCTCCGCAGTCAAGCGCTGTACCGATTGACGCGGTTACGTTGTATCTCTTGTGGGAATCTTCCTTTCTATAAACTTTATCGCTAGCTGCCTTCGTATGCCCGTTGGTCCAGCATATTTTTAGTAGTGCTTTCTAAGGTGGAGAACTACTGAGAAGAAGCGCCTATCACTGGTTGTTTCGTTGATTAGAAATCCCGGCCAGTGGTGTCATATGGCTCGATGTTCGGCGTCCTTCCCTTTCTCTTTCTTAGAAAAATATCGTAACTATCACAGGTCCATTTTCTTACTTACATCGCAAGTTTAAAAGCTTTTGATTCGCTTGTGGAACCACCTGCTTGTTATATGATGAAACAAACATGTTCTTTCCTTTGTAGACGAGAAAATAGCGACATTCCTTTGGTTGTCATTGGATGTGTACAAGAAATCGAAAAGAGAGGTAAATCTAACGGGCTTTTTGGAATACTGAATGACATCAGTGAAATTGTCCCGCCAGCAGAAGCTGGTGTTTAGGGGAAAGCAAACGTCGTTTGGAGAAAGGTTCGTTAAGACCCCTGATTAGCTTCGGCTGAGCATTGTCTAATCAGGCTGAACCACGATCACTGATCAATA